TAGAATAGAATAGAATAGAATAGAATAGAATAGAATAGAATAGAATAACAAAATTGGGAGGGACCTTGGAGATCTTCTAGTCCAACCCCCTGCTTAAGCAAGAAACCCTACACCACTTCAGACAAATGGTTATCCAACATCTTTTTAAAAACTTCCACTGTTGGAGCATTCACAACTTCTGGAGGCAAGTTGTTCCACTGATTAATTGTTCTAAGTGTCAGAAAATTACTCCTTAGTCCTAAATTGCATCTTTCCTTGATTAGTTTCCACCCGTGCCCTGCCCTCAGGTGCTTTGGAGCTTGACTCCCTCTTCTTTGTGGCAGCCCCTGAGAGGGCACTTTGACCTAAATGTAAGGCAGCTAAGATGGTAAACAGACCTTTTTCAATTATTTATCTTATAAAGCTTCTGTGATAAATAAAAGGGAGTCCTTCTCTAGAATATTTATCTGTATAACTTTTAATAGCACTTGAAAAGAACATTTCTATTTGGATTGTGGCATAGTGAAAAATGATTAGGTTTCCCTTGCTTGTACCATAGCTCTGATCTCACTTTTTCTTCCCTCTTTCAAGGATATATCTACTTAAGGATCTCAATCAAATAGAATAGAGCTGGAAGGGAACTTGGAGGTCTTCTAGACCAACTTTCTTCTCAAACAGGAGACCCTATACCATTTCTGACAAGTGGCTGCCAAGTCTTTTCTTAAAAACCTCCAGTAATGAAGCACCTACAACTTCTGAAGGCAAGCTGATCCACTGGTTCACTGTTAGGAAGTTTCTTCTTAATTCCAGGTTGCTTCTGTCCTTGATGGGTTTTCATCTACTGCTTCTTGTCTTGCTTTCTCATGCTTTGGAAAATAAGGTGACCCCCTCTTCTTTGTGGCAGCCCCTCAAATACTATAATACAGCTATCATGTCACCCCTAGTTCTTTTTTTCTTCATATATTTTAGTCTTCAGGCCTTTACTCATCCTAATTGCTCTTCTGTGCAAATCTCTCTTGGTACTTAGACAAAAAGTTTTCAGTCATCAAAGTCACTATTGCTTAATACCTGTATTAAGATATTAGAAGGCTGGAATCAACGAGGCCTTTGCATATATGACCAAATGAGCTTCGGTGATGCAGTGGTTAGAGTGCTGTACTGCAGGCCATTTCTGATGACAATCGGCTGCCTGCAAGTTGGCAGTTCAAATCCCACCAGGCTCAAGGTTGACTCAGCCTTCTATCCTTCTGAGGTGGATAAAATGAGGGCCCAGATTGATGGGAGCAATATACTGACTCTGTAAACCACTTAGAGAGGGCAGTAAAGCACTATAAAGCAGTATATAAGTCTAAGTGCTATTGCTATATGGATCACCCACCCACTCTCTTTCTGGTCTGTGTCACATACTTCGTATGCTTGTATATTTATACATGTTTTCTGTCCTCTTTTGTTAAACTTTTATTTTTTAAAAAATATACAGTATTAAAATCTATTTTTTAATACAGAAGTTATAATAGTTATAATAGAGAAATTTCTAGGACAGAATCATGAAGATCAGACTTGTAGCTAAGCAAGCCCTTACTGATTTTATCTATCTAGCTCTAGAACCTTTATAGAATCCCACAATATCAGATTGAAATAATATTGTCTGAAATCTGTGGTAATGAAAAATAACCACATAATAACCAATTAATTGGACTTCTATAAGAGCAAATGAAAGGGGATCACCATAGTCTGATTCTGGAAATGTGAGGAAAATTCTTCTTAGTTTATTGGCTGAACTGGAGCCAATTACAGATATCATACATCTCATAGGTTAAGATTCAGTGGAGGTACAGCACCATGACAATGCTACAAATTAATTTTGTAGACTTAATGATTAGACGGACATTGCATTTTTCATGAGATTTGTGTTAACTCAACCAAGAATAATAAGTAGACAAAACAAATAGACAAAATACATTATTTCTTGCTCCATTTAAGGTTTTCTCCCACTCTTAGCATATTTCAAGTGTCTTGCCATTTCTGGCATCTGTAGAAACAATAGATAGGTTTGTCAAGGTACCAGAATAATATCATTCAAAAATGCAAACCCCAAACTCTAGATGCACCAAAATCTACAAGAACTTGATTTCTTCAGAGTAATATCAACTTGGCAAATTAATACAATCCTTTCCTGCCATGAAAGTAGCTTTTCTGGCCCAAGGACATTTGATGAGATAGTGAAGTCCTACCCTTAATAGAATCTCCATTAAAAATTGCAGAACAATAAGCATAACAATGATTGTAATGCAAGGTCTTCAATTTGGCGTTTGCCACTGCCTGTCTTATTATATATAGTTTGACTTTTGAACATCTATTGTTCCATAGCTATAAAGGAAAAAATAGCCTTTGACAAACTCTACCAAGGCAAAACAGAATTCAATTTTTTTTCAATTATAATAATGTTCTGAATAAGGAGATCAACAGCATTTTAATATTTCTCAGTGATCGTTATATGTTACAATGCCTTGGGCAGAAGAGAAAAGTTATAAAATGTAATATAAATGTTAGACTGAATATATAGAATGCCAAAATTCTTTTGGAGAAGTATATATGTCTTAAAACAATCCCTACAATTTATCCATGTGCAAGAAAAAAGCAGTAAATCTTTAGATTCAACAACAATAAAAATAAAAAAGTTCTTTTAACTCATAAAATTACAGGATTAAAAACTTGTGAAAGGTTGTCAATGGTTCTATGCCATTTGTCTGTCTTTGGGACTAGACATCATATAACTCAATCACATAATCACAGTAGGTTGTAATGTTTAGCCCGTCTTAATCTCTCAAAACTAAACGGTGACTTGATTAGAATTTGGACGGGAAGCTATCCAGTAATCTCAGAGTCCTACAGACTGATATATATATATAT